GAAATAATTAGAAATAGTTAAAATAGAAATTGTTGTAAAGGCAAAGCCTTATTATTATAATCAATGTTGTACTTATCTTTGTAAGCCCCTTTAGTTATAGTGATTCTTCCTTGATCTTTCATGGTGAAAGATTTGATTTAATTGATTTATCCCAAAGCCTCTTGAGATCATTAGATTAGTAAAAGTTATAAAAACCCTGTAATTTCTTTCTTGTAAAGTTAGGTCCTATGGGATTCTAATATTATTCACCTATAACATTGAATAAATCACCTTGATAATATTATTTTAAAAACTAAGCTATTGCTAAATCACTATCGTCACACCTCTGGCGAGTTGCCTTATCACCTAAAAAACTTATATTTTTGTATTTCTCATATCAAAGAATACAAATCACCCCGTAATATTTGGTGGTGACTGTGAGATTCTTACTTCGTAAATTATTTTCGTATTCTATCTGTTTTAAAAATGAATAAAGATCAATTTAATAAATTTTTGGAAGCCATGACTAAATCGGCTAATAGAGAAGAACTGAAGATCCCGACAAAAGAAAGCAATCTAGTTAAAATCAAGTACTTTTATGGAACTAATGATGAAGACCCTTTTGAGTGGTTTGACGATTTTGAGAGAGCCGCCGAAGCCAACAATTGGGCAGAAAATCGTAGGATTAAAATTGCATCAGGATACCTAAAGGAAAGAGCTGCAGAATGGTACAAAAGAATTAAAGGCAGCATTGAATTGTGGAGAATTGAAGAAGAAAATGAGATGGATAAAAACAAAAGTTTTTACCACTTGTTTACAGACCAATTTGCGTCCAAAGCACAGCAACATCAGTGGCAAATGGAGTTGTATGAACTGCAACAAAAAGATACAGAGAAAGTGGATGATTATGCCACTAAATTCCAGAAGTTGCTAAGTCGGGTTAACGTTGATAATGGGTTTTCCAAGGGCTTTATTGTGAGAATGTTTTTGAAAGACTTAAAAGGCAATAATGCTGAACTAGTAAATATAGCCACTCCTAAAAACTTGGAAGACGCCATAGCTGCAGCAAAAAGAATTGAAGCTGGGAGTTACTATCGTCAATGACCTTTCGAACAAGTAAATGCTAAATATTCAATAGGAAATGAGTTACACAACCTAAAGAAAACTATTGAAGGGTTAACAATAAATTATACAACCCTATCAGCACAAATAAAGGATACAATGACTTATTGTCCCCAAGAGAATTATTATAGAGGACAACCTCAAAATAATAATAAGTGGAAAAAAAGAATGGAATATTATAAGTGCGGAGAGATAGGACATATAGCTAAATATTGTATGTTAGAAAAAGTAAAATATCTGTATCCTAATCAAAAAAAAGAAAAAGGGAATTTAACAAAAACTATTAGTTTTTGTGAGTTAGAAGATAATAAGGAAGAAATATATACTGTAAATAATATTACCCCTCAAAAAGTCACAAAACGTCTAGCAAACCCAAAGTGGAAAAATAGGCTACGTAAAGTGGTTAAAGTACCCCAAGAAAAGATAACAGAAGAACAAGATATAGTTATCAAAAATCCTACCATTATAAAAGATCTACTCTTTTCAAACAATCCAAAAAGAAAGCGTGAACCATCAAAAATAGATTCTTTAACGCCTTATAATGTTGCCGATGACATTTTAGCCTTACTTACCAGTGCTACAGTAGGACAAATTTTACAATATCCAAACCAAAGAAGAAACTTAGCAAAGATATTGAAACATTCATCAATATCAAAAGAAGCAAAGTTTATAAAAAAATACCGTTGTATGACCGCCGCTAGGTGTTATATTCGTATCCACAATAATCCGGTATTAGTAGTGTTAGATTCGGGTGCCGCAGTAAGCATAATTTCTAAATGCTTGTTGAATAAACTAGGGTTAAGGATAGATAATAAATCCACAACCGTAGTAGTAATGGCTACAGAAGAGAAGTCCAATACACTAGGAAAAATTAAGGACATTAGAATAATTATCCAAGATATGGTAATATCTACTACTCTATATATAATAGACTCCCTGGATGATACATTGTTATTAGGAACGGATTGGTTTCAAAAGACTAAAGCTCGAATTCATTTTGATGAGCAAAAATTATACTTACAATATGCTGATAAATCAGCAGAAGTTTAAATTTCCAATAGTGGGACTGAAAGTCTTAACCCATATTAGGATGACGAAGTCCAAAGCGATGACGGGATACCTTTGATGAATTTGATTACGAAGAAGATGAATTCGATAAGTTTAACGAAAAAAACATTGAAAGCTGACTCTTAACAGAAGAAAATTCAGCATTATACCTCACTAATATCGAAGAGGTACTTATAAAGAAAGATGAAAATGAAAAAGACAAAGAAAAGTCTATTAAAGAAATAATTAAGGAAATGGTTAATAATGAAGAATTAACCAAAGAACAACAAATCAAAGCAAAAGAATTTTTTCTTACAGAAGAAGACTTATTTGCTTTAAGTATTGAAAATATGGGCTGTACAAATGTTACTACCCATAGAATAAACACAGAAGACACCATTCTGATTAAACAAACTTATTATAGAGCCACCTATGAAGAAAATGAGTTTATTAGAAAAGAAATCAATAAACTTAAAAAACAAGGACTTATATTTGAAATAAACAGTCCCTGGGCATCTCCAGTAGTTATAGTACCAAAGAAAAACGGCAAACTATGATTCTGCGTAGATTATAGAAAGCTAAACGCAGTTACTAAAAAGGATACTTATTCTTTACAATTAATTAATGATCTTCTTGATACATTTGGTACAGCCAAATGGTTTTCCACTCTAGATTTAATAAGTGGATATTGGCAGGTTGGAGTTAGCGAAGAAGATATAGAAAAAATGACTTTTATAACAAAATTTGGTACTTATGCATTTAGAGTAATGCCGTTTGGCCTCTGTAATGCCCCGGGAACCTTCCAATGATTGATGAACACAGTACATGGTGATTGTCTTGGTAAATTTGCCGTGGTATACCTAGATGATATAAATATTTATTCAAGTTCTTTAGAAGAACATTTAGAACATTTAAAAATAATTTTTGAAAAATTACGAAAGGCCGAATTAAAGTTAAATCCGGAAAAGTGTACCTTCTTTAAATCTGAAATTAATTACCTGAGACATGTAATTAATAAGGAGGGGGTGAGACCGGATGAATCAAAAGTTGAAAAGGTTAAAAATTTTTCCATACCAGTAAATATTCGCCAACTAAGGGGATTTATAGGATTAGCATCCTATTATTGCCGATTTATAAGAGGATTTGCCTCAATAGCCCGTCCAATTCATAAACTGTTAGAGAAAAACGTTCCCTATAGGTGGAAAGAAGAACAACAAAACGCATTTGTGACTTTAAAAAGACACCTTATAATGGCACCCATTTTAAGGTATCCAAATTTTAAAGAAGAATTCTTTTTATATACCGATGCTTCTGGCATGAGATTAGAAGCTATCCTAGCTCAAAAAGATAAAGACTACAAAAAATATGTGGTAGCCTATGCAAGCTGAGGGTTATCTAAAACTGAAAGAAATTACTCAGCTCCGGAAGTGGAATGTCTAGCTATAGTATGGGTAGTAGAACACTTCCACTATTACTTAAAAGCAAAACACTTCACTTTAATTACAGATCACGCCGCCCTTAAATAGCTTCATATGTCAGAACCAAAAAGGAAAAGAGCCTATTAGATATTAAGGCTACAACTCTATAATTATTCGATAGTCCATAGAGCTGGAAGAAAACACTCTAATGTTGATGCTTTGTCACGAATGTATTCACTAAAGAAAATAGTGAAAGAAGAATTTTAATTTTTTTTTATCAAAGAAGAACTTATAATTAAAAATTATTAAACTAAATAATTAAAGAGAAAACTTATCAAAGGGTTATATAATCTGAAAGTTTTCAAATAGTTTAAGAGGATCAATGCTAAAGCTTGTTGTGATGGATTCGAAGAACCTTGAATAAGAAATTAAATATGCGAGGTGAATAGGAGCATATTATGAAAAGCGAGTAGAAGAAAATAAATTAAATTTCTAAATTAAGTCAAGTAATAGTATTACTTGGAATATATATCTTGTGAATATGTATCTAAAAAGAGAAGAAAGGAAATTTGTTGAGAAATTTCAAACAACCTTATTATACGAATAATAATTGTTACAGATTATTGTGAAATCAGATTATCGTGAAATTTAGATTTATTTTATATACGATTTTTAAATTTTTTTGGAGCCTTTTTTGTAAGCTTTTTTTTTATAGTTAAGTTAGAGTTTAGAGTTAGAATTATTAATAAAAGAGTATAGGTGGATTTTGGTAGGGCTTATATTTTCAAATTAAGACCCCAAATTTCACGATAATCTGATTTCACAATAATCCGTGACAATAATTGATAAACAAAAGATCAAATAAAACATTACCACTAGAATTTTAAGAAGAGAATTATTTTACTAAAGAAAAACATAATAGGCAAATATAACGAATATATTAAAGATTTAACTTGATTGCTAGAAATGGAACCATATAATATAATTGTATTATAATACTGAACTAAATTACACTTAAAAAAAAAAAAAAAAAAAAAAGGTACTCTGCCTGTAAAGCGTGTCTATAGCCTGGTACTGGCAAGAGCTTATACTATAATAGGTACTACGTAAAAAGTGAAGATGTATTCAGACCTGTAAAGCACGTCTATAGCCTAGTACTGGCAAGGATTAGCTACCATAATAAGTACCATGTAAAACTTGAACCCAATTAGTGTAATTAAATAGTTCAAAAAGTTTTAAGTTACTTGAAATAAAAAATTTTATAATTAAGAAATTACGTTAATATTATACTTATTCATATTAAAATTCGACATTAAAAGTAATTCAGTCCAGGTAGTCGGTGTCCTGGCATTATCAAAGATGGATCCACTTCGTTATCAAATATTAAAGACATTCCTCTTAGAACATATATTACCAAAGAAAATAACTCTACAAGAATGTCGAAGTATATAAAGTCAAAGCAAGTTCTTCGTAGTAAAGAAGAGATTAATATACAAAAAAGACAAACATAAGATTAACCATCTATTAAAAGTAATTCAAAGTTATAAAGTTGAACTCATCCTATTTTTAGTTCATAACCATCTATTGGGAGGACATTTCGGAATTGATATAATGTTCAATAAAATTTGTAATAAATATTATTGGCCGCAAATGTATGCTGATATTAGAAGATTTGTCCGTACTTGTGATGCCTGTCAAAGAAAAGGAAAAATTTTAGCAAAACCTCCATTACACCCGATACCTGTAGAAGCTCTATTTTACAAAATCGGAATAGACATTGTTGGAAAATTACCTGTAACTTTTAAAGGTAATAGGTATATAGTAGTCGCTACAGACTACATGACAAAGTGGCCTGAAGCCAGAGCAATTAAGAATGCTAATGCTCAAGAAGTGGCTGATTTTATTTATGAAGACATAGTATGTTGCCATGGGTGTCCACAATACTTACTTTCGGATCGGGAACACATTTCCATAATAATTTAATAGATGAATTCTTAAAGAAATTCACTATTAACCATCATTATTTGACGCTATATCATCCACAGACAAATGGATTAGTAAAGCGATTTAATAAAACACTTTGTGAATCAATCTCAAAATTAGTTACAAATGTTTGAGAATGAGATTCAATTATACCTTCAGTACTCTTCACATATCGAACAGCTAAACATAATACAACAAAAATAATCCCGTTCTTTCTAGTATATAGTAGAGAAGCAAGATTTCCAATCCATTCTAGTGATACTGAAGAAGAAGTGTTAGAAGGAACATTTTTACAAAGACTCTTTGAATTAATTGAAATATTACCTGAAGTAAGAAACAATACTGTCAAACAAGTTGAAAAAGCACAAGAAAGTGCTAAAATAAGACATGATCAAAACTTATTACCTATAGAAGAATTTAAAAAGGGAGATCAAGTACTAGTATATAAGGCATCGCAACAGTATTCTAAGAGTCACAAACTTCATCCGAAGTGGAAAGGACCTTTTGTTATTTATAAGGTTCTAGTATACAAACTTCGATCTGTCGATGGAAAAATTATCAAAATCTCTATAAATAGAAAATTATTAAAGAAATACTATTCTAGATAAGGAAAATTGAAAGAAAGGGGAAAGAGCGGAAAAGGATATGAATCAGTCTAAATTACTATTTTAATAGTAGACAATACATTATGATGACATAATGATCATCATGAACAATGAAACTTGTATTATTATTAATTATTATTAATAAACTTTATATTTATATATTAATAAGTTAAATATATTATCATACTTTATTTAATTAATTGAACATTATAGAAGTTTAAAAGTATAAGAATTAACTGAAGATACTTCAATGAACAAGTATATGTTAGTCTGGAAGGCACAAAAATTTTATAAAATATGATATATGCCAATTTGGTATCAATCATGTGACCCTCTGAAGGATGAACGAATGGAAATAAAGATATCGATGATTGTATTCAAGAATGTCAACTTAAAGCTGTAAAGTATGAAATGTAATAGAATTGATTCTTTTTAACATTCAGAAGATCGCTGAAAGGAGATTTGAATCAGTGTTTTTCATCAACGTGGTTAGATGAAAAGGCATGAAGTCGAATATATTTATGGAAATTTTCATAACGGCAATATATTGTAGAATTAAATAGCCATGGTGATACATCTTATATTAGAGATCTAGGATTATCTAGAAAGAATTATGAATCTGACATAAAAGATAATATTTATACCTTATGTTGCTTTTAAAATGTTCATGAAACGACCATATACAAAGCAACAGATATTTATATTTTTGGTATTATTATTACTGAAATGTCTACAGAAAAATCACCTTATTATGATGATGTAATGAAGCGTTAACTATTCAAATCTGCAATGGATTACGTTCTAAGTTTGATGAAGGCACTTCCGATTGCTATATCCAATTTGCATGGAAAAGAATTCTTTATAATAGATCTGAAATCTATTATACATTATCAAAATGGTACACGATAATAGATAAACTTATAATTAGCATGAACTTAAAAAGAATCGACCAATGCAAGAATGGATCAAAATGTAAAATAAATTAAAAGATCTTAGTAAACTTCGAATTTGATTACGTGAATGAAATAGTACCGTTGCACTTAATTAAGTTTGGATAAAAGCTCATAAAAATTTAACGAGATAATGATAAGCATTTAAGTTTGGATACTTAGATAAAATAAATCAGAAAGATGAGCTTAAAACTAGAGTATTTGATAATTAGTTCAAAATCCGAATTTAAGTATTGACCAATAAGAGATTTAATTTTCTAATATAAGAAGATAAGTTACACGTAACAAAGATCGTATTTGAACTAAAATGAATAAGAATTTATTCACGAATTGAATAAATCTTATGAATGAGAATACGACGTTTTGGATGTTAAGAAGAGAAATTTTAATCATGATACGATAAATCTAATATGAATAAATTAAAGATAAGTTAATATTTATTTAATTATATGTTAAACAAATTTATATGATATAAACATGGTACAATACGAAGTATGAATATATATATATATAATACTGACCTTAAGTTTAGTAAGATTTTTAATAGATCAATTGAATAAGTGTTGATTATTTATAATTAAACTATTTCGATAAATAGTTGAAAGAGATTTGAATTTTAAGTCGATTTGATTATATAAAATATAATTCTAGAAGAATTATATAAAGCAAGAGAGTAGTATATAAGGATTATATTTTGAATTTTTTTCGTAATATTATTTTTTATAAGATTTTAAGAATTTATTTAATAATTAAAATTAGTTTGATTTTAGATATGATTTAAAAGAATATTTAAAATTAATTAAAAGAAAAATACTAAAAGATAAAATTTATTAAGATATATATATAACCAGCAAAACAAAGAAATAAAGAAATGAAATCTAATCCTCCCACATATTATCCTCATCTATATTATTCTCCAAATACTGCGTACTATTCTCACCAATCTCATCAACTAATACCATCAGAAAACTACTTTCTCTTCACTTGCTGACTCCTCTTCTAACATCGCCTCGTATTTTCTCAACTCATCATCTAACCAAACTTTATAGTCCTCTTCTTCTTCTTCTTCCTCTTCTGTTTCTTCACTTTCATATTCTTTTTTATCATCATCTTCATTATTTACTTCTTCACCAAATTCTGATAAATCGTATCTTTCTCTCAACCTTTGTCTTTCTCTACCTCTCTCTCTTTTCTCCTATCAATAGTACCTAACACCTCAATCATATTGTTCCTCAATATATTATATCCTAACTCAAATTTCCTCTTTTCTATATTCAACCTCTCATATCTTCTTTGTTCATCTTTCAACATCCCTCTTAACACCTCCAATCTAAATTCTCCTGATTCTACTACTTCATCCAACATCTTCTCCAATCTTCTATTTTTCTCTTCCAACCAAAACATCATATTCTTCTCATTTTTCTCTGAAACCCATCTACTCCACCTATTAAATTTAATTATTTTTAGTATCTTGTTATATTAAATTATAGTATTTATTATTATTATATTTACCAGTCTTCCTCTATGTTCTCCATATTTTTTACATCTTCAACGTCATCAATTATTTCTTTTTGTTTGCCCTTGTCTAAATTCTTACTATTATATGAAAATTATATTAGTTATTATTATTAATTTATTTAATAATTATGTTCTTACTTTTGACAATTGGGATATTGATTGTTATTTCCTTTTTGGCTACGAGGCATTTTTAAAAGCATTTTATTAATATTTTTTTTTAGTTTTAAATTTTAGATCAAAAATTACTTTACAAAGATAATCGAACAAGTATTTAAAGTTTAGATCACATGAAGAAAAATTTTATGATTGGATAATCAAGATACACAAATAATATTTTTAAGGAGTTAATTTTCAAAATTTGGTAATCATTCTGATGTAGACTACTGGTTAGAATATTCACTCTAGTAGCAGAGTAACCCGGGTTCGATACCAGTGAGCAGAGCTATCCTTCCTAGAGTACTGATCTCATATAGGATACATGATGGCCACTCAGAGAATGAAATATCAGAATGAGGATATTTTTTTTATTTTATTTTGTTTATTGTTTTATTATTATTATTATGTACTTATACTATATTTTTAGTTAGATATTTATGCCTGGTAGGCATAAAATAGGTCTGGGCGAATGTTACGGGCTAAATGGAAGATCGACAAAATCGGTGTAGCAAACTCATGACTTTATACAGATTAATCATAGGAATTCTAAATCAACTAGTGCATGAGGCTTACCGGCTAAATAACGGAAAGATAACCTACATGAAATCCGAAGAAGAATTCTAAGAAGAACAAATGAAGATCTAAAGAGAAGAAAACAAGAATCAAGAATAATTAGAAATAGTTAAAATAGAAAACATTATAAAGGCAAAGCCTTATTATTATAATCAATGTTGTACTTATTGTTATAAGCCCTTTAGTTATAGTGATTCTTCCTCGATCTTTCGTGATGAAAGATCTGATTTATCTAATTTGTTCCAAAGCCTCTTGAGATCGGTAGATTAGTGAAAGTTATAAAAACCCTGTAATTTCTCTCTTGTAAAGTAAGGTTCTACAGGATTCTAATACTATTACCCTATAATATTGAATAAATCACCTTGATAATATCATTTTAAAACTAAACTATTGCTAAATCACCATTGTCACGCCTCTGGCGAGTTGCCTTATTACCTAAAAACTATTTATTTTCGTATTTTCATAGTAAAGGATACAATTCACCCTGTAACATTATCTATTATAAAAGAATGTACTATTGAAGAGGACCAGAAAGAGTACGGACTCTTGACATATCCACGAATGTAAAGCCTATAGGCTAAAGATAAAAATTTTAGTTTTCAGGCTTTCTATATATCAATCAGTATACTTTATTTCCTTTATACCCGGGATTCATAATGTTTTCGGCTGAAATCTTCTTGGCATTAATTTTTCTTTACTGTATCTATTACATAATCCCATTTATGCACCAATACATATAAGGAAAATCTTACAAATAGGGCAAAAATTGCAGAAACTGCACTACAAAATTTTTTTAAAAGTTTATGATTGTCATCAGAAAGTTGGCATGCAAGTAGTAGCGGCAAGATAGTTTTACCTTCTAAAAACCTATAGCATTAGCTAATAAATAATTGTACATATTTATAATTTATAATTTGTGATTTCTTGGATATTACGTTCATCGCTTGGGTTCATATTTTCTTTTCCAACTATTATTGTTTGTGCCAATCTTGTCTTTTTATTGATTTGATGGCTTTATTATTGTTCTTCAAGTGTTATAGAAACCAATCTTTCCTTTCAAGTATCATTTCTTGCAGCTGTTTATTCGGGTAAATAAATTCTTTTATTTTTTTTGCAAAGACTACAAATTACTAATCATGTAGTTTACTTTATTTATCGTTGACGTTAATGATTAAAGTCTGATTAATTTCTACAGGGTTGACAAAATCAGTGTTATCATCATTACAAGGGTGGGAGCCAGACATCGCCTAAACCTAGTACACCATAGATAGGTCATTCACTCCGTTTCCTTCTGCTCTAGCCTAATTATTACAGATTAGAGTTGTTAAATGGAGTAGGTCACTCCAGAGTGGCTCTGGTTTGACTTCAAACCAACTTGGAGTAGATTAAAATTTAATAAACTAGAGTAAACCATGCTATTAAACCAGGCTAATAAATGGAATAAACCAGTTTATAAACTGAAGTAAACCAGTTTATTAAACTAGAGTAAACCAGTTTATTAAACCAGTTTAACAAGCTAGTTTAACAAACTAGTTTAACAAACTAGTTTAATAAATCAGTTTAATAAACCAGTTTAATAAACCAGTTTATTAAATAATATATATATACATGTTATAATTATAGCATATCTTTATTTTACAAATAGCATGTATTAAAAGTAACATGTGTTGGCTTATTTTACAAAGTATAATAAAAGTGACAGATTACAAATATATTTTTTGCAATATCTTAAATAAACTGTTCTGGATATCTTAAAGAAAAGATTTCTTGCAAGATTTTATATATTTATAGTGATACTATTATAGAACTCTTTCTGACGATCACTTGAACCATATTTTCCAAAAAACATTTTACTGCAAAAAGAGATCTTACAAGCCGGCACTTAACATACTAGACAGTAAGACAGCACCTGTCGTTTAAAAGTAGTTCTCATATACTACTTGCCAACAGGCTTAGAGTTTATCACTCACTGCAAAGTCTTGGCACTTGTCATTTAGAGGTAGTTCTCATATGCTACCTGCCAACAAGCCCAGAGTGTATCACTCACCAAAAAAATGTTAAGCAGGTGTTGGGTGGTGGGTTTTAACTGTAAAAAAGAAAACTCACAATTCTTTAAATTGGTTTGAAGCTCAAGTGGTTCCTCTTTACCTCTTGTCATTTTTCCGTCGGTCTCCAAAAATTTTTTTATAAAAAGTGGAGATTTGGCTTACCCCCTCTAAAAGATCGGCATTGTTTACTTACCAAATTCGAATGGACCGGTAGATAGTAACCACGTGTTTGGAGACGAACACGGTGCATAGGCCCTGGAACGAGTTCTGGTCAAAAAAGGAATCCCTAGTGGCAGCACCAAGTGGCTTGAGATACGAGTACCCGAGTGATAGCACCTTTATGGAAATATTGCGATCTTTGTCATCGTTGGCGCCGTATATGAAGAGTCAGATTCTAGTACAGCAGCAGCACTTGGTTTGAGATACAAACTAGGTTATTAAAAAGATTCAGAAATGGGTTAGAGGGAATTTTATTGTTAAGTTAGTCTTACATCTGGTATATAATTTTTAAATTACCTGGTACAAGTTATAATAGTGTATTCAGATTGCTTAATTTTTTTCTTTTTTCTGCTTGTTTCATCTATTTTCATTTATATTAAAATCGGTTTAGGTTCTCCTTTCTTTTTTTCTATTTGTTTCATTTTCTCTTTTGTTTTTGTTTTCTTTTTTAGAACAATTTCTATTTTTTTTGGTTATGAGAGAGCTTTTAAAGAGTTTCTTTAAATGTACCTTCTTTCATAATGTTGGCATATATGTTAGTCTTATGTAGAAGTAAGAGGTAATATGTATAATCTGCTGGGATTTAAGTGGATTGAGTTCAGGAAGATATTACCAAAATTTAAGGTGGGATAACTCAGAAGAAAGGATCGGCTCTTAAAAGAAATCTTTCTTTTGTAAATTGGCATATATATTTGTGCTACACAGAAGTAGGAGAAAATATATTCTGCCTGAATATTGGTGGAATAAGTCTAGAAGGAAGGTAAAATATAATCGATTCAAATGTAGGTAGCTGAGTACCAAGCTATAGCAGGTTTTTAAATATAGGTATTACTATATATGGAGCTTGTTGGCAACATCAGTGCGATAACCATACTTGGGAACTTTTATAGCACCTGGGTATTTGTCTAATCTGTAAATTTAGATAGTCAGTTTTGCAAATTTTGTAAATTGCTAAAGTTTCTAATAAATTAGTACGAGGTTATCAAAGGAAAAAAAATATATATTTTCTTTTGGTAATTATTTGTTAGTTTTTAATACTTCTTTTGTTTCTTTAAATAGTTCATATATTCTTTTAGTTAGAATCTGACTTAGGATTAGAATTAGAAAGAAAATTTTTATTAGTAAAATTTCAGTATAGTTACACTTTCATATAATCACACCATCAGAATTATCGCAGTTTTCAAAATGGTTGACACTAAAATATTTTGTATACTCACTGTATACTGATATAAAATCATCTAACCCTAAAAAATTTTTTTGTATACTTTAAATATATTAGTTGTATTTAAAGTATACAAAAAAATTATTTAGAGATAGATAATTCTATATCAGTATACAGTGAGTATACAAGATATTTTAGTGTCAACTATTTCGAAAACCACAATAATAAAAGGGTTTTTATATAAAAAATGTGCTTATGTAGAGAGTGATTTTTATATATTTAATAGTAGTTAGTTTGAAAAATTAATGTGTTTATAAAGATAATGTGTTTATATAGAAGATGCTTATATGGAAGTTCAACTGTACTTTACTTTTTGTCATTTTTTAGTTATTTGATACTTTTTTGTTATTTTTTTCAATACTTTTTTTTTAATAGTTTTCTTGGTGCTTATTCATTTTTTCTTTGTGTTTTTTATTACTTTTTTAGTGACTTTTTTATCAATTTTTTAGTGTCTCTTTTATTTTTTTTTAATGCTTTTTTTATCACTTTTTAGTATTTTTTATCATTTTTTTGTTACTTCTTTGTGGTTTTTTTATCATTCTTTTGGTGGTTCCTTTGTTGTTTTTCTGTATTTCTTCACTTCTTTTATTGCCTTTTTGATCTTTTATTTTTTTCAGTATTTTTTTGTTGCTTTAGTGCTTTTTGTTATTTTTTATAACAATTTCATCATTTTTTTTAAAATTAATATTGAGTCAATTTAGAACCCTGAAGAACTTTGATATAACTTATATGTTATCAAAAAAGAAAATTTTATATAAAAATTTATTAAATATTGCATTTTTATATATTAAATTTTTAAAATTTGCTCTATTTTATATATCTATTGGGCTGAAATTATACAAACTTTATATAAACTCAGATCTAAGTTACATTAAAGTTCTTTGGATCTTGTTAAAATCAAGTTAGCATTTGGTTAATATTGAATCAATATTGAGATCAATATTGGGTTAATATTAAGGCCAATATTATGTTAGGTTAACTTTCTTTTTTTTCATATAATTTTGTAAAATTTTAAAAATTCTTATAAAAATATTTTTTTTTAAAAAAAAATTATTTTGTTAATACAGTATAAAGTCTTAGAAAAATTCAAAATTCAATAGTGTAAAAAATTTTGATTTGTCACGTGATTAGCGAAATTTTTTAAGTTGGGTGTTTTTACAATCCCGATCACCATGCTCGTGTTTTATAATTGTTTATCTTTCCAAAATTTCTGCTATTATTGATAGGCGGCTTAATTCTGATATTTTTTAGCTAAGATAAGAAAAATTCTTTGATCGCAGTAAATAATTGTCCATAATCACCTGTATTTGGATCACCATCTTGAATCTCGTGTCTTGGCGTTGATTTCACATGCCATCCTTAATCTGCGCTCTAAGCTCGTGACCTTAGCCATCTTTTCAATCTGTTGACGGTACGTACGTCAATTTGAATGATAACTACGACTTTAATGAGTCCAATATTTAAAGCTTGGGTTTTCATTTAACTAACAAATTTTGTAAAACAGCTAAGCAGCGATCATATTTTGAATGATCCATTATGCGTCTTTCATTTTTCTTGATTATTTTTATAGTTATCAACAGTTTTTTCAAAGGGTTGAAGTGAAAAAATGGAAAACTAAATATAGTAAAGTATTCAGAGACCATGTTGTAAAGAAATAATAAAAGTCATTAAGTTTTTTTTAAAAAAAATCTTTAATACTTTATATTTAACTTGCATTAGATTTGACATAATTTACGTTACATTTTAATCGGTATAAATTTTAGACTTAGAAGCAATATTTAACATATAAATTATACTAAAAATTCGTGAAATATAGTATACTTTCGCAATAAAATTGAGATTCTACGTGCAGGAGTTTTGACACAACGGGGCTCCTTTGAAAGTCATACTGTAATGGCGCGTAATAACGCGCAGATGCGCGTTATTTCGTGTTATTTTGGGATGCGCATGGTGCTATTTTGAATCAAAAAAACAATTTTCAAAAAAATGAGAGTTTCAAAATAACACTCAGGTGCGTTATTACACGCCAATATTAGCTTTAACATATTTGCGCATTTATTTTTGACAGATAGTTACTTTATTAATTTTATCGCTTCCACAATATATAAAAATAAACATGTACATTATTTTATAATAATTTCAAAGCCTTGCGCCTATGTGCTATAGATTCTTCAATTTTGATTTATTCCTTGATCATTCAATATTGATGGCATCAAATATTGTTTCTGCGATCTTATTTGTTTACTTATTGGGGTCCTAACAAATAAGTAAAATTTGATAACCCGGATCAGTCCGACGAAGCAAAACAAGCAAAAAAAAAAAAGAAAAAAAGAGAAACACGAAAAATACGAAAAGCTAATCCTCATATTTATGACAAAACGCATATCACGCGATCTACCCCATTCCATTCGTAGTACTGTAGTAAAGATGAGACCTTCAACTGCCCCCTGATGAAAATTAAGTTTTGCGAATTTTTCATTGAAATCTTTAAGATCGTTGTATGAGATACTTGGGGGCATCTTATCAGCTTTGGTTTTGTAAATTTCGAAATTCCTGGCAAGATACCCATCAACTTGAAGCGTAATTTTTGAGTAATTACGATATGGAATCCACACATTTTCTCACTTAAAATCCTTCCTTTGCACTTATGAAGTCCAGGCTCAAACTTAAGATTTAGCTCACCAGATTTGTCCTCATATAACCAACTATATCCAGTAACACCAGTGCCCGCTGCTTGTAAATCCCATTCGCTTGATGTAGTTTTAGCACTATCGGCTTGTCTGAGAATTCCAGGCTTAGGTGCATTACTTAGATGTTCAATGGGGTCAATTCTCTTCTTCGGAAACAATTTTTTTGGGTAAATCAGTATCGGATCGTCATCAGGCATATAATCGGAATAAATTCAATTTTAAGAGATTCAAGGAAATAACCGTAACCTTCCTTTGCAAGTTGATTCGAATTATCGCTAAGCATAAAATCTGTTCCACATTCAACTATATCAACATTAACAGCAAACTTTGAATATTTTTTTTATAAGCTTCGTCAAATTTTGCGTGAAAATCAACAATGAATACAATTTTGATCTTTAGCTCTTGCCCTTGCTATAGAGGTGATTGAGATAATTTTATTACTATAATTACTATTGCCGTCCTTGTCATTCTTGTTATATTTATTGCTACTCCCACCACTATAACCACCACCTTTTCTACTGTCATGGTGACATACAGTATGCAATTAACATGTTGGAAAATAAGGGTAAAAGTGATCGATCGATCAGAGTCTTGAACACGTGACTCACGTGATCGATCGGAAGTATGGACGGTCGGTAGTATGTTTGGAATACCGAAGTAAGATCGAGAGAGATCAAATTATGCATTGATAGGTAATGCAAGATAGTTTATTATTAAGTTATGCATGAACAATCGAATAAAGTATGTAAGTAATTTAAGAGACAATGGTCGTATGATCAATATATGATGTAACGATTAGAGTCAAATATATAAGGATCGAAGCGAAAGTAGTTTAGTTTAGTTAGTCAGTTTGTATTAGTTTGAGTTGAAATTTGTATTAGTATTAGTTTCGCTCTGTTAATTAATAAACTTCATTTGAATAATAAGTAAAATACTTGCCTTAGTATAAACATTGATATCCGGTATTAGCCAAGCGATCAAGTGCTCCCCATCCGGGTTAGGTTATTCTGTGACGAAGGTCACTAATTAACCCGTGACACTACCATCCTATAATTATCATTGCCGCTTCTGTTATTACTTTTGCTGCTACGAGAATTACCACCATTATTATTATTCCCTTCAAAACTTTCTGTAGCACTATTGACTTTTGATGTATCATTTCCATCAATTGGTTCAATAATTTGGCATCTTACTATAAATTTATAATCAAATATTGCCGCGGGTTGTTCTAAAACTGATGGCTCCAACTCACTTGTCGCCCAACAAGTAATGAAAGGAAAAGAATAGTTCTTGTAAAAGTTGGGACCTATTGCATACACAGGTTTAGATTCAAGTATACGATCAATAATATCTTTCTTATCAACAAGTAGATTATTCAATTGCTCAACTTCAACGTGTTTATCAGCCGAATTTCCGTTTTGTACTATCAAAATTCTTAATACTAATACGAGGCCTTTAAAGCTTAATTTCGTTGTAAGCAATATCATCAATATCGTTTTTATTATTTGTGCTGGCATTTTTTCGGATGCTATTATGTACCTGTAAATGTATAAGAATGATTTTCTTAGATACGTGTAGATAAACTCCTTATATACTGATATATAGATGATTAAAATCACAAATAGTATAAGGGCGTAGTCCAAATCTTCACGAAAATTATTTTGAACAAAAAAAAAAATTGAAAATTGCGAAAAATATAAAAAACAACAATCTATACTTATCTTATCGTACTAACAAAAGAGTCAGGGAAGTACTCTTACGGATAACAATAGTCTTAATTTTAATAAAAACATCTAATCCTAATGTTAATTAGATAAACAATTTTAGCTCATATCCGGAAAATTTGGGCCGCACCTGATGCTGTTAAAATGACTCGTAATCATTCGAAAATTCTTGCAGATAATAGGGTGATTCAGAATATTTGTTTTCGAAATAGGTTATTTATATAAATTCTACTTTTTTTTTATATTATGATCCCTCAGATGCAAAAAAATTGATATTGACCCATTTGGGTCATCTGATTGACCCACAATAAAATCAGTATATCGTTATTTAACCTTCTTTAACCGAAATGAAGCAAAAATTGAAAATTGAAATTGATGTTGATGTGAGTTGAAAGAACCAAAGAAGCTCCCGTAGTTAACGCTTCCTGATGTATCATTATTAAATCCACTATTACCTTCAGTTCAGAAACGAAGAACTACAACAATTACTGTAGGAGCTTCAAATAAATTCTACTGTATAAAAGGATAATTTAAATAAACAATATAATAATTTTTGAATTAATTACAGAATTAACTATAAATGAGTTAAAACAAAGTATGGAAATCGTCTTCATCTAAAGCTACTACACAATGTGTATTTGAAAATCTTTTTTCTGAAAAACAAACTGGTTGAAAGGACAATAGTTTGTAAAATCTTATTTCGAGAAAAAAATTTACTTAGATAACAATAAAGGTCGAATATGAAAAGTTGTTTACATGAAAAATGGAAAAAAATAAAAATAAAATAAGTGATATACGACAATATTATGTCGTAATGCGACAAAGATTTTTATTTATTTTTATTTTTATTTTTTTTTAGTAGTCAATAACGATGTATTGATTTTTATTGGGTTAATAACGATGGGTCAATACCAATGTTTTTGTGTGCCAGTACCCTAAAGAAAGAAAATTTAGAATTATACAGGAATTTAAAAAAGTTTTATAAGTTTTTGTCGCGAAAAATGCCCAATTTTAAAAACAACAATCTGAACAAATCTGAATATGATTTTTTTTTTTATAGAGTATGTTTTAATTCATTATTCGTGTTATTCCACGAGTACTATGACTTTTTGACAAGGGTCTATAACACCCTAGCGTTGCCCAGAAAAAATAAACTGGATTATTTGCCGGCTTACATGTAATTTCGGATATTGGTTTCTGGATTTATGGCTTGTTTTATTTTTTTTTTAGTGGGAGCACTAGGGTTTCAAGTTTAAGGTTTCGTCTTTCGTCAAAAATTTAGGTTTCGTTCAACAACTATAAACGCATTCTTGATATACCGATTATTTCGGTGTATCAAGAGGGCATCTCCCATGATCTGCAAAACCAAAGCTGATGAAATATCCCAAGTAACTTATACTCTTAAATTAGCTTTCAACGAATTTAAAGATACTGTATTTATATTTATATAATTAAATTGATTTCATAAAGTATTAAACAATAATAAAATAATATTTTTATAATGAGCTTCTAAGCTTATCATAACGGGGATATATGGAAGTTAAAGTAGAATTTATGCAAAGAGCCTCTACAAATGCTTCTCTCCCCTTAAAACCGATATTATTAATACCAATATCTAAAGAAGTTAAAGTGGTATTTTTATAAAGAACATCTGCGAAAGCTTTTCCTCCTTCAAAACCAATATTATTTCTACTAATATTTAAAGAAGTTAAAGTGGCATTTGCACAAAGAATCTCTGCTAACGCACAACCTCCTTCGGGGCCAAGTTCATTGTCAGAAATGTTTAAAGAAGTTAGGGTAATGTTTTTACGAAGTGCCTCTGCAAAAGCTCTTCCTCCTTCAAAACCAATATCATTATCACCAATATTTAAAGAAATTAGAGATGTGTTTCTACAAAGTGCTTCTGCTAATGCTCTTCCACCAATAAACCCAAGTTGATTGTTAGAAACATTTAGAGAAATTAAAGTAGTATTTATGCGAAGGGCCTCTGCAAATGCTTTTCCTCCTTCAAAACCAATGATATTATGACTAATATCTAAAGAAGTTATAGTAGTATTTATGCAAAGAGCTTTTAAAAAAGCTTTTCCTACAAAACCAATATTATTATCACAAATATTTAAAGATGTTAAGGTAGTGTTTTTACAAAGTACTTTTGCAAATGCTTTTCCTCCTTCAAAACCAATATTGTTATGATTAATATCTAAAAATGTTAACGTAGTGTTTTTACAAAGTGCTTCTGCTAATGCATTTCCTCCTTCAAAACCAATATTATTTCTACTAATATCTAAAGAAGTTAAAGCAATATTTTTACAAAGACTCTTTGCTAATACTTTTGCACCCTCGGAACTAAGTTGATTTCCAGAAATATTTAAAAAAGTCAGTGTAGTGTTTATGCAAAGAGCTTCTGCTAGTGACATTCCTTCCTTAGATCCAAGTTTATTATAAGAAAGATTTAAGTAAGCCAATTTATTACTCTTGCTAATAAATTCCATTAATGGTTTTATTTCTTTGTAGTCAAAATAGATGCGATAAATACTTAAATTGATAATAGTATTGTTCGTATAAAGACTTTCAAATATTGTTTTATTGGTGATATCGTCAAGTCTTAAACATTTAAGATTTTTGCTTGTTCGTAGAAACATTGCTGCCAAAGAAGATTCAATAGCTTTTATGGGCTCGACATCACTTCCTTCATAATCAAAAAATGAATAATGAGATCTGTATCCTTCATCATCAAGCCAATTTTTGATACCATCAGATAAATAAAAACCAACAGATTTAGTATAACTTGAATACTCAAATAATGGTTTTGGACAATTTGGAAAAATAATTTTAAAAGGGATTAACAGAGCTTGTTCATTAGTATTTAATGCTAAAAGATATATCTTTATAATTCTTCTATCGTCGGAATAGTTTGTTGGTTCACTCCATAGTATCGGTATAATAATTCTACACCATTGACGATTTACAAGAAGGAATGAATATAAGTTTTTAAAATCAGTTCGAAAGTAATTAAATATTTCGAAAAAGCATTCGTTTGGTAACTTTATCATTTTGAAAGATTATAAATTTGCATTAGCGTTAGTTTAACGATAACTCCGATGTATAACCATTTTTATATGTCGTGAAACATTACGGCACATTTGTAAAATACCCCAAAATTTTTGACCACCAACTTAATTGACTTCACATAACTTATATTTTTAATGTTCCTAACTATGATATACTTTTTTAAATTTTTTGTTACCCATAAAATACTGTCGATGTAACTAACGATGCTTAGGTGATTCTTAATTGTCGCATTCAATAATTTATTAAGAATCAAATTCTCTTTAATAGATCACAGCGCGTGACAATCGAATTTTCAACACTAAAACAGCTTAGTATCACCCATATAAAAAATATAGCCGACGTCATATATTCAATTGTATACTGTATATCCATCAATTATGGGCGATGTTAGGTTTCTCCTCCTAATTGAAGTTATATGTTCGTACATATATGTGGCGATAAATTTAAAATGGATTACGATAGTGGGAAAATGGGTTAGACATATTTGTTAACTATAGATCGGAGAGTAAAGAATTTTTTCTAGGTTTATCATAGAAAATCAATAATAAATTTGGATCTTAACTTTGAGGACCAAATATTAGTTAAATTTGACAAAATTTATAATTACGGTATCATATTGGGTGGTATGTTAATACGTGTAGTAAAAACATATTTCAAATTTCAAATTCTTTTGAACTAGTAAATGTTCACAAATAAAATTATATTTATCAAACTCCTTTTATTGTAGTTTGCAAAATTTTGTAAAAGAAATTGCTCGATTTTTAAATTTCTTAAAACCGTTATGGTAATTTCATATAGCGATATCGAAGTAGTTTTAAGAAATTAGAAAACACCTAATAATCATTTACAAATCCAATAATCAATTTTCTCTAACTAGTGCTACAAATCGGACCAAAAATTGCAATCGAATAGTTGGTCGAGAACTTTTTTCAAAATTGTTTATAATCAACTAATTAAATTTAATCGATTAATTGGTATGTTGAAATGGCTTGGATATAATGATATTTTTTTTATTACACTATGCAAAAGGCGTGACTCTTAACAGATCACGATGTCATGTGAAATCGAAAAATTTTCTGATTTTTCGCGATTTCGAGAATTTTATAGAATTCCAATAAATATATATATATTATTGATTGAATATATAACTGATATTTTTCAATAAGTTTGCAAATGGAATTGCCAATCTTAATGAAGCCGAGAATGCCTTTTTTTTTGCACGGCTTAAAATTGCAGTGATTTTATATGTAAAAAGACGTCCATCCACATTAGACAAATCAAAATTTTTAAGTAAACAGATCTGCAATGACGACTCATTAAAAGTGGATGAAGTAATTTATTTATTCAATTATCTTCAAAATGATTATAATGATGATTTTCAATAGTTTAATTTTTGGTAACATAAAACTTAATAACTATAATAAAACACTAAATGATTTCGATAAGGCATTAGAAATTGACTCAAAAAAGTATTCGCGTGCTATCATCGTAGCGTTTTATAAAATATATTTGATAATTATGACCAAGCGCTGGATGATCTTATAAAATTTTGAGGGATAATCCAGAATATTCACATTCTCTTGAGCTTCTGGGTCTAATACAACTTAAAGCTCATTTCGATAAAAATTAATGTTCACTTAACCAAATAGAAGGGATTACAATCAGAAACTACTTCAACTTAACAAGGTTCTGGAGATTAATCCAAATTGTTCAATTCCTCTTGAAAAATGCGGTGAAATACGTAAAAAGCTTAAAAATTACAATGAAGGCACTGAATGATTTCAATAAAGCATTAGAAAGCAATCACAATAGTGTATTCGCACTTAAAAATCGTGGTAAATTCATTGTATACTCTGTAACTATGATCAAGCATTGGCAGATTTTAACAAGGCTCTAGAAGTTGATCCATACAATGTAGATATACCGTATAATTCCAAAAATAAGCACCCATAATTTTTTATATCCGAAAATAAGCACTCTCTTTAATAATTATGACTAAAAACTAGTTAAACCCCGGTTTTTCATGATCATTTTATATCCAAAAATAAGCACCTCTATAATAAAAAGGGTGCTTGTTTTTGGAACTATACGGTACTTGTATTTCGTGGTTGTTTACAAATCAGACAAGAAAACTTTATCCAAGCCAGAGAATTCAGAAGCACTTAACCATATTGGCATATTCCGGATTTTGTCCAAATTTTGCATCTGATTTCAGGAAAGGGCAGAAAATAAGCATGCCAAAAAATTAGCCTTAATACATTCTCATTCTTCCAATGAAAGATGGACAAGTGGTAACAAACAAATTGATTTGCCTATTAAAATGTCAGGCGAACCAAATCAATTATCAAACATAACGCACATTGCTGATGGTGGATTTCGACCATTTACACTGCGGCATGGGCATGATAATGATTGCAAGGACAAAGAAGCAAAGGTATCTTTCTCTGTATCTTCAAGATGGCCAATTTATCAAAGTTCTGTTTTGTGAATTGCACTCATGGGATAACTAAGCACTTAGATTCATATGTTATTGTAATAGACTATTTTCCCGATGGATATCTGCATAAATTTTTATGAGAAAATGAAAACTTATCTTGGATTCCGTTTTGAAATTCTTAACAGTTTAATAGATCAGCTTCTAAATTACATAAAGAAGGGATTATTCATGGCGACTTACATAGTAAAAATATTGTTATTGAAATTATAAGCCATTTATCTCAGACCTTGGACTGAGTTCCATAAGCATTGTTACCGGCAAAATCGATGATCACGTGATGTCACGAGAAATGGAAAACGTAACAAAAAGAGATCAAATACATGCAAAAAAAAATAAAAAAATAAAAAAATAATAATAATACTAAAACCCGCTTATCTGTTTATCGAAGAAACCAAAACATTTGATAAGCCTTCGGGCAAAATAGAGCCAAGCCCGTAGAGACGCCTCCATCGACATAAAGGGCCAAAATATTGTAAAGAAATCTTTGGAGAATAGGGTCGCATGAGAGATGAAATCCGTAGTAAGAAGGTCCCAAGACCACGGTATATTGAAGTTCCCAGTAGAGAACCAGGAGATAAACACCTGGACAAAACAATGACCAAGCATTGCCCAAAAAGAATAAATGAGGCGGTGACTTTGCCGGGTCAAATAAATAAAAATAGTAAGGGCCAGATAATCCAAAAATCGTCTCAGATTTAGTATTGATGGCATGATTAGGAGTTAGAGTTCTTTTCTTCTTTTTCTTGCATCTTTTTGTCTGAAATTCATGTATAAATAGCCCTGTAGTTCGCTCCAGTTATAAGGGCAGAACAGTACAAGTTTAATAAAATAATTTTGAACTTTGTTCTATAAATGTCGATATCTTTTGTTGTCTATAAAGTCATTCATTTATAAACTTCATATACTAAAAATCTACCCAAACGCCTTTCTTTGCCAAATCTCTTTCGCCTCATACATTTTGGTTTGTTTTTGTGTATGTGATAGTTTTGTGTGTTGTAGTCTCCGTGTTAGCTGTCGCTATAGCCTGTAACAGCATGCATAAAAATATTACACGGAATGAAGTTTATGGATGTATTCCCTATTACTATGTGGCACCAGAGTTGTATCACATTCTTTTGAAAGTGGTATTGGGAAATATCAACTGATATAATGCCTTCTTGTGACTGTGATTACAATATACTGGATTACGTCCAAGTGCATCTAACCTATATACTGAGGTTTATGACTTAAAAGGAAAACCTAATGTCAAGTTCTCAAAAGAACAAAAGTCATTCAACTACCAAATATGTGAGCTCATCATTTTGTGCGCCGATGAATTGCTAGATATTAATTTCACTATCGAAAATGTATGTATTAATCTTACTATTTTCATTGAGGATATTTTAGAAATCAAACTTTCTAATTTTTTCACATATTATATAATAATTTTCCTGGAAAGAACTCTACAAATCAAAATTAAACTTTAACTTGAAATCAGCAACATAATTATACTGGCCCCTAGACCCGAACTTTACTTCAGGATTGAGTGCTTTTCAAATTATTGTAATCAGCATATGACACCCATCACGCGGAAATCAACAAAATTTCTTTAATTTCTTGTTTTTTTTTTTTTTACAAATTGCCACCAAAATAATAATATTTCCAAGATTCTCTATCGAATACTAATTATCTAATAATATCCATTATTATGTTAGGTCTTTCGGTTAGTTACTAATCAATAAAAAAAAATTTTTAACTACAATCTCATCAGTTTTGAACAAAGGACTTACTAAAAAGCTTACTTATTCTCAATGTTCAAGGCTATTTTCGTATTCTACAGACATATAGAATTAGAAACTAGTCCTAAACTTTAAATTAACCAAGCACTTGTTGAGTTACCTTTGTTCAAAGTTCAAAAACATAGATAATATGGGCTGCTGTCAATAGAAATAAGGCAGATTGACATTTTAAAAAAAATTAATGCCTTAACTTTCACAGCTCATATCTTGATGGAGTTTGAGGCTATCTTGATGATTTAGTATTCAAAAGAAAGCTTAGATCATAAGCTTTCTTTTGACTATTAAATAATTAAGATAGCTTCAAAATCCATCAAGATAAGAGCTGCGAAAGTTAAGGCATTAATTTTTTTAAAATAGTAAGATAAAAATTGATTATCAATAGACTAGTATAATTTTTTAGCCAATAATAAATTTGCATTTTAATTAGTTGAGTTAGAAATGAGTATTTTATATTGTATATTGCATTATACTAGTACACTATATATCAAATTCTAGTGAGAAATCACTCGGTGCTTACTTTGTGGTCTTACAAATTTATTTACACCAGTATATTTTAATTAATTATTTGTGTTATTCTATGAGTACTATGGCTTTTTGAAAAAGTTATTTCAACCAGTTTATAACAGTCCTAGCATTACTCAGAAAAAACATAAAGCGGCTATTTATGTTGTATTCACGAACTCAAAAAATTTTATGCAGATAGTTTAACTTTGCTGAAGACTGGTTTTTTTTTTTAGCAGTAGCATTAGAGTTTTGTCTTTGTCAGAAGAATTTGGGGTTTCGTTATTTGGGAGTTTAGGTTTTGTCTTCGTCACTGTGCAAAGAAGGTTTCGTCTAACAACTATAGGTTCACCCAATGCAATTAATTTAGACTACTTAGCAATTACAAAATATTAAACCAAATAATCTTAGATTAATACATTGCCTCCATCAGCAAGCTGTTTTTTTTATAAAATCTACATAGATCTACAACTTTATATAGTTATTATATAGAATATGTACTATATATATAAAAATTATATATGTTAATTTTTATGAAAATAACTATATTTGAGGTGTGGCGACTTAGTGTAGTGGTCTAGTTATCACCCTCTCCAAGTGGCAGGTCTAGAGTTCAAATCCCATGGACGAAGAATTTTGAAAAATAGCCTGTGTTACGGTTTATAGTTGTCGATTATCGGTTGGATCTAGAAATCTGTAATCTCAGTCATACTATCTAGTTATGGGAGCTTTGGCGCAATAAATCCGAGAAACCAGAATAACCAAAAACCCATTTGGCAAGTTCTGAGTTTGGAGGTAGTAGTGATCTATGACGGTACTACAGGAGGGCTGAATTCGAACCGGGTCCGAGATCAGAGAACTGAGTAACCAGGTCCTAATAGCAGAGGACACACTAGCTGAACCGCCGGGTTGTCGCACCGAGGAAAAGGACATACGCTCCAAAAGTATGAACCAAGAGGAGTGCGTCCTTCAGGCACCTAAAGCCTGGGCAGACCAACCCTTCCGAGTTGCCGGCTGGAAGTAAGAGAGGAACCTGTAAAGAATCCAGGTAAGAAGACGGTCTAAATATGGGGTACTGGGGTTGCTAGGAACCAAAACAAGGGCAAGGAGTACGTAATGGGTGCCTAGTTAGGAAGGTTGGTGCTTGAGAAACGTCCGTAGAACGGCAGCACCCCAAAAGGTGGCGTGAGATACGAATACGGAACGGCAGGTCAATATGTACTAATTAGGAAGAAGTTATAGGAACAAGCAC